CTAAACAGTTAAACACATAAATATCTGAGAGTACCAAGATATAGAAGCTATATATATATATATATTATACACGCACACACACATATATATCAATGGCATATTTTTTACCTAAGTTTCATATGACAGTGTTATAATTGCAGAATTTTTGTAAATGTGCTTGGTTTCCAAAACAAAGTTACAAAACATTACACATTTCCTTTTAATATAAAAACATACTAATTCTCCATCATTGACTAATATACCAATTTGTCAATTTGTAATAAAATGATTAATCATTTTTAGGTTTTTTAAAAAAATAGCTAGACTTTGAATGTTTAGTTCCTATAAACAATATTTCTTAAGATAACTGTCTTTTAGATATTTAAAATTATTTGCAATTTCCTATATAGTATTGTCTCCTTTAATAATAAGTTAAATCTGTCTACTTGGAAATCCTGTAATATTGTAGATTCAAGACTGTGATAATTTGCTAACCTTAGAAAACTGAGCATTGAATTTAGCAGATATTAATTTTATTTGAAGCTGCTGAATGTTGAGAATAGTTTAACATCAATATTTGGATTTTTGAGTTGTCAGTTTTAAATTGTTTTCACTTTTGCTTTACCATTAATACTATGGCATGTTTTTTTTGAGGGGAAAAGAAAGTTTATTTATTTCTTAAAACTATTTACTACTGTATTAATGCTTTCCAGGAACCTGATTCTAATGTACCAGTGTCTCAGGTAAAGATTTTTGATAGTTGCAAGACTTCTTAGTTGGTGACCGCCTTATTGCTATTTTCTAGATGTAGTTGTAGTTTAGATCATGTGCTACTTGTCTACATATAGTGTTTGAATATTAGCTAAACTTATGAAACATTCTTTAAACTTATAAGTAAAGAGTGATGTTGAAAAATTGTGCATATGGGTATCATTGAATATTTGATATAATCTAGATTTTTAAGATCTGGACCTTGGGTGGGGGAGAATCACTTAAAGGCCATTCAAAAGGGGGGAAAAAAGAGGCAAATGGAATAGAGAGGCCAAAATGGATGCCACCGTGGTGAGTATGACTGCAAGGCTACCAAGGGACCTGCTTTGGGTAGGATAGCAGTACCTCCTAGCCTGGATGGGTGGGTGGGGAGCTGTTCTGAACAACACGGCCAGTTCAGGCTGAGAAAGAAGGAAGCACTATTGTTCATATCACTGCTGTGTAGAAGCTGGACTGGTCAGTGAAGCTCCCAAATTAGGTCACTAGTGAATTAGGTAATAATGAAGGTTGTCCTGAACTAGAGTGCAGGTGTTGTAAGTGTTTCTTCTGAGAGAATTTTTTCATAGTCATCAGGTGAGTGAACTTTTTGAACTCTTTACAATATATGTATTTTTAACCCATCTTTAACGTATTCTATGAAGGTGTGTCTTATGCATAATGATCTTTTTGAGGGCTATGAAACAGAGTAAAATGAAGCATTTTATCTCAGACAGATTTCAGATGTACTTTCCGACTACCCATAACATGGATAAACATCTGACTGATGTTTATCAATGGATGGGACAAAAACAATGGGTTAGTGTTTTTGGACCCTACATGTTTAAGTTATTTTTAAGAAGGCTCTACATTTTAAATGACATAAGTATTTAATTTATAAGTATTTAATACAGTCTTCACAAAAGCCTTTTCTACTTAAGAAAAACAACCAACAAGTTATAGTTGTGATAGAAACAAACAATAAGCAGCATTCAGAAGTTCAAGAGCTCAAAAACTTCACAAAGACTTGTCTGTGAAGATACTGCATGTGGTAATATTCTTTGTTCTGTCATGATAAATCTAAACCTGTTAGCCACTGGGTAGTGATATGAGAAAATAAATGGACCAAAATTGAATCTGTTTTCTTTATTTTTCTGGTGAATTTGATAAATGTTCAATTGTTAGTCATACTTTTGGGGTTTCTTCTCTGTACTTTAAAAAAACAAAACAGCTTGAAAGGAAATGATGATTTGCTGTCCAACTTGTGTGTACTGAATATGCCTTGAAGTATCTGTAGAACTGTTCAAAGAGTTTGAAGTTTAAACTTTGAAGCAGTGTTGAATGTTAGCTATCTGCAGTCTTAGCTAAATCACAACCTTATATTCTGTCAAAAACAAAATTGTTTTACTTTATTCACAGAATACTTGGAGTGAGTAACCTAGAAGGGAGCTTGAGAGACTTTTTAAAAAAATGCTTTTTCTTTTCAAATTCACCATAATCCTCCTGAACCTGTTAGTGCCGAGGAAACACAAGGGTGTGCAAAAGTTTTTCTAGTGTAACCTTCACATCAAGAAGAATCTGTCAATGGAATTTTAAAAATCTGGCCTAAAATTGCCACATGTTCATGCCTGTGTGCTATTTAAAATATTTTATCATTGGTTTATGTATAAGATGTCATTTAAGAAGAACATTCACCCTGTGTACACCATATACCAAATATGTGAACTCCCCCTTTCCTATGAGGTTTACATTTGAGAGAGATATGGCAACTATGATTTTGGACCATTTTTATTTTAAGTATACGCTTTGTTTAAAAAGTATATTTATTACCATGAGTCAGAATCTTATTACCATGAAAGGTAAAAACAAATGAGTCAGTGTTTTTATGGTATTTCATTATTAGATTTTTAATTATAGCATTGCTTGTCAATGTGGTATACTATAGAACCAATCAGTAGATGAATATGATAGAATCATGTTTTTTAGGCAAGGAAGTAATTGACATGATGATTACTCATTTAAATGAAAAAAAATACTACACTTTTCCCTCACCCCCTCAAAAGAAAGTAATTACTCTCATTACGTTCAATGTCAAGTGACTGTATTCCTGTGTAACTACATCCACAATATTTCATAGAACCAGTACTAATAACTGTATTTGCATATCATTTCAGAGGTTAAAGATAATGTTATCACTTGGTATTTTTATTAAATGCAAGAGACTATTTTGGACAGTTTATGTTCATGTTTCTTTGCAATGGATACATCTGTTTTAGATCATGATCATAGTTGAACCTCTTTGTATTTTCTTAAAGACTGGAATACAAAGGTATTAGAAGTATGAAACAATATCTGGCTTGACTTCAACATTAAAACTGGCATACAAGGATATTAGAAGCTATGAAACAATATTTGGTTTGTTGCCAACACAAAATGCTGTAATTTTTTTAAAGCCAAGAATCAGTCTTCCATCTGCTATTTTGATTAAAATCCCAAGAATTGTTACCATTGCCACGAGCAATTCTTTGAATGCAAGCTGATGTTTAATCAAGCAATGACATGTTATTTTCAAGGTCATTTTTGGTTAGGGTGGAAGCAAAGCAAGTATTTTCTTTTTCTAAAATACCAGTAAAATTTAAAGGATTGAATATTGTTGTTTTAATAGATTTTATTATAGTTCTCTAAGCTTCTGAAATGAAAAATCCACTTTTTGCTTTTCAGGAATAAGATTTTGTAGCAGGAATAATAATGAAATCAAAACTAATATAGATCTGTGTACATTACAAGAAAGCCTCCAAATGAATTCTTGATTATTTATGCTATTAGAGAAAAGTGGTGGTGTGAATAATTCAAAAATAATTTCTGTTTGTTCTTGGTATGTATTATTCAACTTTAGTGGCAGGGGGACTGGTTTGTAGATTCCCCTGCTTAAATTATATTTGGATTATTGGGTTAGGGCAAAATTAAAATGTTTTTAATCCTCTGAGCAAAAAGCCAATAGCAGTGGTACTGAGGTTACTCGAATATGGGGACAGGGTAAAGTCAGATTGGAATTAAAATTTGCTAAGAGCTATCATCTTGGTCTGCAACAGAGAGTGGGGTCAGAGGAGGCAGTGGGGCATCTGTTGTTTAATGGAAAGAGAACTGAATGGCTTTTTACCATTTATTAACTGTTACATTGGTCCCAAAGCTTCCATTTCCTCATCTGTACAATGGGGATAACATTATATGTACTAGTACTTATAACAACTAAGGGTTGTTAAAAGGGTCTAGTGAGATAATTTAGGATGAGCGCAAGTATCGCTAGCTCCTGTGTAAATTGAATGGAGTCTGTGCAGACTTTGGACTACATTGGCAGTCTTAACCAATATGGATCACAGCTATATCTTCTGATACCCCTTAGGTAATCTTAAGTTATTGTTGTTAAAAAGAAACAAAAACAAAACCATCACCTGTTGACCAATGATTTGCTATTTTATCCTCTCTAAATTTAGCAAAGCTGGTCTTTGGTCATCAGACTCCCATGAGAAGCTTTTCTGTTTTAGTAGGACAAAGCCTGCCCTCAGCAGTGAGAGTCTTTGAGATGCCAGCTCTTTTTTACCCTGCTATGGGGCATCACAATACTCAGAGACACAAAGGCCCTGGGAAAAACAGCTTTACAGATAAAAAGAAATAGTTGGCTCTTTAATCTAACAAATGTCAAGCCTTATAATCAGCTGTACCCCACACTCAAAATATAGTGGTAAAGATGTTCTCCAGGTTATAATCTGTGGTGTTTTTACCATTTTAAAATTCTACTGTCTGGATTCCAAACCAACTATCATTGTTTTGATTAGGAGCTAAAGTGGCAAATTGGGAAAAGCAGTGCCCCAAAGAAGAGAAAGCTCAGGAGGCTATCTTGAAGTGTTACACATAATACACACCTCAATTAATTTGTTTTCACATTTTTCTTTAAAATTTTCTGTCTTTTAACTACATAAAGAAGAAAATTTGCTTTATGACTTCTAAAGAGTTACTGGCCTATTAATTACTAGGGCACTGCCCTATTTACTGTGTAATTAACTGTGACTAAGAATGACCTTGATTTTTGTATTTTCTATTTCTATTTTGCATTTTGATATATAATTGCCACCAGGTCTTGTACATCTGTTTACAAACCTACATAAGAAATCTAAACATAAGAAGTTGTTATCATGAACATTTTTCCAAAGCTCTTCAAGCTTGCCAGTGCCATTTAATGTACAAATTTTTGCTTTATCTGTGGTTTTTTTTAGGCAGCTTGGATTTTAAAAACAAGAGCACTAACTGAAATGGTGTATGTAGATGAAATTGATGTAGATCAAGAAGGAATTGCAGAAATGGTCCTGGATGAAAATGCAATTGCCCAAGTTGCTCGTAAGTACCCTGAAGGATTTTAGGAGGACTCAGTCTAATTCCCCTCATTTTACAGGTATTGAAACCAAGGTTCAGGGAAGGAAATTAAGTTGCTTGGTGTTCCATGCTACAGTGAAGCAGAGTCAGAATCTGAACCCAGCTCTTTGGACTCTCAGGCTAGAATTCTGTCTGTTCTGTCAAACTGCCTTCTTTATGTGCCTAATAATATATTGCGAAACAGAATGTAATTGCAAATAAATCTTTACTATGCCCGAGTCTAGACAAGTGTACTATCAATATAATTCAAGAAGATAATTCTGCATTTCAAATGTGAAATAGATGATAGATGTAGCGTAGGCTTCCTGAGGGTGGGGACTGTTTTTTTTGTTTGTTTGTTTATTTTGCTGTGGCATAGAGTAGGCACTTATTAAATATTCAGTGATTGAATTCATTCCTTACCAGAGTGTAATTTAATGTCACATTTAAAAATATTGAATTTAATACTACTTAATTGTACCTCCCGAGGAAGGAAGCTTGAATTATTAAGACAAATTGAACTATGATATGTAATAACCATTTAAAAATTTTTCAGTTATTGAACAGCAGTTAGTCATGTCACGTCTCTTCTGCCAGATGCTTGTATCTTAAAAATGAATGCATTAGGAAATATTGAGATTTTTGAGTTCTAAAATTCATCTCTTATCTGTTAGGGCCTGGGACATCTCTGAAGCTCCCTGGAACCAATCAGATGGAGGGCCTAGTCCAGCTGTCAGGTACATCTTTTATTTTCACTACCCTCTGATATCTTTCTCAGAATTATATTCTCTTATTTTCCTTACTCTAATAATTTGCTTTACTTACAGGCCGGTAACACAAGCTGGAAGACCCATTACAGGTTTTGTCCGGCCCGGCACACAGAGTGGAAGGCCCGGCACTATGGAACAAGCTATTAGAACACCCAGGACTGCATATACTGCTCACCCTATTAGTAGCTCTTCTGGAAGATATGTCAGGCTGGGAACGGTAAATAACTCTGCCTTTTACCAGAGTGCCAGATAACAACAGTGTCTTTTTGTAATGTGATTAATTTTACTTTTGTGAACCTATTGGATTTGTGAAGGTGATACTTGCTTACTTATTCTGCCTTTAAAATTTTTACCTAAATTATATTCATTTGTATTTTACAAAGTAAAGGCTTCAGATTATTTCTCAAAATTGCTTTTCTCCATAGGCATCAATGCTTACAAATCCTGATGGGCCTTTTATAAATTTATCTAGACTGAATTTAACCAAGTATGCTCAAAAACCAAAATTTGCAAAGGTATGTGAATTTTTTTTTTGCATCATCCTTTCTAAGTCTCACTGTTATGATTTTAGTATAATTAAAAGTCACTGCATTGCATTTTAAAGATAATTATTTCACCTACAAATGATCTGGGGTGATTTCAAACTGATACAAACACTTATAGAGGCAAAGCTCTGGGTCTTATCAACTTATTTATTATTCAGTGTCTTTTAAATGAAGAATCTTAGCTTCTGAAGAGAAGACATGTAGTTTTCTTTTTTTTCCCTCCTTTTTTCAGAATTTCTTTAAATTTCATTTTCTGATTCTCTCAAAGAAGCATTATATATACCGTATAGTCTGAGATTGGCTTCTGGGTCCTATGACAATTTTATAACTTAAACTCCCACAGCAGTTTATCATCATATTCTTTCTGAGAAACATATATATATATATGGATTGTTTAAAAAAAAAACCCCAAACCCTAGCCTCTCAAAATGCCCCAGTCCTTAAGAGTCTTTATGACACTTAAGACAAGTTGTTCTCAGTGTCACAAATTGATCTTATTACTAAAGAACTAATGGGTGAAAGTATAAAGGGCTGAGCTATGAAGACTGGGCATGCAGCATATCTGTATATGTAAATACATGTAAAATCAGATTTTTTCCAATTTATTTAGAATTGAATAAACCAAATATAGAAAACCCATGTAAATTGGTACGTGTATAAATGATACTCTAAGCTAAATTTATATTTTAAGTACCTTAAAAACAGGTTTGCATAAATTTGTAGATATTAAACCCTATTATTCAAGATCTCAGAGTTGGGAGAATTTTCCCAAATATTACATGAATTTAGAAATCTCTAGCCCTAAAGAATAATACCTTGAACCCCTGAATAAGGAACAAAAGAGTAAAGAATCAACATAATCTGACTAGACATTTTCTTTAATTAGAGTAGTCTGTTATACGATAATCAAGGTCCCAGTTTTTTCAGTTAAGTCTAGGAAAATCTGAATCAGGGTTGGGGAATGGGGAGGACGAATAAAGGGATCAAAAATGGTCCTGACTGTATATGGAGAGGACTGAACTGAGGTCAGAAGTCACAGAGATAAAAGAGTTCTTTTCCCTCATAGGAATTTACCCCTCTGCTGGTGCCTACAGATGTCTGTCTCTAAATCACTAGCCCCTTCCTTTCAAGACAGTAATATTTCTAGTGTATGCTGTTCCTGTGAGTTGGGATCGGGACGTCCCTAAACTAGAAAGTATTTTTAATGAAGTCATGACTTCCTCTTCTCTTAGCAGTCAGATGGACCTGTCAGTTGGCAAGCTCTTAAGAAAGTATATGAGCAGTAGTTATTGGGACCAAATTAATAGCATGACCAGTTTTTTCCTACTGTATATTGTTACAGTACTGAAAATAACCAACATATTAAACTCTCTGGACTGCATTTTATATTATTAGTATCTAGTAAAACCTTTTTATAGAGAACTGTTTTCCTTATATAGTATATAATGAGAGACAGCATGCCATAGTGGATTTAGTGTTGGACTTCTTGAACAGGGGAGTGATGTGCTTTAGGAATATCACTTTGGAAATTTTGTGGGAGAGACTCAGAAGAGGGAGACCAAGTAGGAGGCTATTGCAGTATACTAAAAGGTATAAGGGTAGAAGTGATAAGGGCCTGCATCAGGGTGGTGGTTTGGGAGTGGAGAGAAAGTGACAGATATAAGAGGTGCTGAAGAGGAGAAATCAACAAGTCTTGCATGGCAATTGTCAATTTCCCCCCTTCATTGACTATACTCAGTTTTGCTGGGTGGATGATTCTTGGTTTTAATCCTAGTTCCTTTGACCTCTGGAATATCATATTCTAAGCCCTCTGATACCTTAATTAATTAATTAATTAATTAATTATTGTTTTTTTTTTCAATTGGGGTTAAGTGACTTGTCTAAGGTCACACAGGTAGTAAATGTCAAATGTTTGGTCTGAGGCTGGATTTGAACTCAGGTCCTCCTGACTTTAAGGTTGGTGCTCTATCCACTGCGCCACCTAGCTGCCCCCTGATCCCTTAATTTAGAAGCTGCTAAATCTTGTGTTATCTTGATAGTGTTTCTACAATACTTGAATTGTTTCTTTCTGACTGCTTGCCATATTTTCTCCTTGACCTGGAAAATCTGGAATTTGGCTATTATATTCCTGGGAGTTTTCCTTTTGGGATCTCTTTCAGGAGGTGATTGGTGGATTCTTTCAATTTCTATTTTACCTTCTGGTTCTAGAATATCAGGGCAGTTTTCCTTGATACTTTCTTGAAAGATGATGTCTAGGCTCTTTTTTTGGTCATAGCTTTCAGGTAGTCCAATAATTTTTAAATTATCTCTCCTAGATCTGTTTTCCAGGTCAGTTGTTTTTCCAATGAAATATTTCACATTGTCTTCTATTTTTTTATTCTTTTGGTTTTGTTTTATAATTTCTTGATTTCTCATAGAGTCATTAGCTTCCATTTGCACCGTTCTAAATTTTAAGGAATTATTTTCCTCAGTGAGCTTTTGGACCTCCTTTTCCATTTGGCCAATTCTGCTTTTTAAGGTATTCCTCTCCTCATTGGCTTTTTTGGACCTCTTGCCAGTCGGGTTAGTCAATTTTTTAAGGTATTGTCTTCTTCAGTATTTTTTTGGGTCTCCTTTAGCAAGCTGTTGACTTGTTTTTCGTGATTTTCTTGCATCACTCTCATTTTTCTTCCCAATTTTTCCTCTACTTCTCTTACTTGATTTTCAAAATCCTTTTTGAGCTCTTCCATGGCCTGGGACCAATTCATTTTTCTCTTGGAGGTTTTGGATGTAGGAGCTTTGACTTTGTTGTCTTTTTCTGATTGTATGTTTTGATCTTCTTTGTCACCAAAGTAAGATAATATAGTCTGAGTTTTTTCCCACTATTTGCTCATCTTGCCAGGAAATTACTTGACTTGGTAACTCTTTGCTAAGGTAGGTTCTGCTTCCAGTGTGGAGGGTGTACTGTCCCAAGCTTCATGGGTTTTGTGCAACTGTTTTCAGAGATTTTTCTAGGAACCTATAAGTTTTCAGTTCTTCCAAGATGGTATGATCTAAGGAGAGATGTTTACTCCTCTCCTGACCTGTGCTCTGTTCTGTGAGTGACCACAAACACTCTTTTCTGCCCTGGAACTGAGGAGAGTTCCCTCTGCACTGCTGCCCCAAGTTCTGCTATGCCAGTGTTCCTCCTCACCCCAGGACTGCCACTTAGGACTGCCACCCAGATCTAGGTATGGGCAAAGCAACAGAATCCTGCCTCAGTGCCAGCAAAGAGATCCCTGTCATCTCCTTCTGATCAGTTATTTGATCCCCTTACCATCTGTGGGTTGAGAGCTCTGGAAGTAACCGCTGCCACCCCAGAGCAGCACTGTGCTTCTCTCTCATCCAGGTCCAGCATGTCTTTCCCACTGACCTTCTAAGTTGTCTTTGGCATTTGTGGGTTGAGAAGTCTGGAAACTGCCACAGCTGCGCGTGATTCAGTCCCGAGGCCTGCTCTGGGACTGCTGGGGCCCTGTCTTTGCCAGCATGGCCCATGCTGAACTGCCCTCCTCTCCCAGCCCAGCACAACAGACCTTTCCCATCAGCCATCCAGGTTGTCTTGGGCTGGAAATGTGTTTCACTCTGTCTTTTTGTGGGTTCTGCTGCTCTAGAATTTGTTTAGAGTAATGTTTTACAGGTATTTGGAGGGTTTGGGGGAGAGCACAGGCGAGTCCCTGCTTTTACTTCACTATCTTCCTTGCTTTGGAAATTGAATACTCAGGGTAAGGAAAGGGAGGAATTAAGGATGACTCAGATTGTGAAGCTGGGGATTTGGAAGGATGCTGCTGCCCTGAATAGAAATAGGGAAGTTAGGAAGAATACTGAAAAAAATTGTTTTAAGAAAAAACAACTACAACATTAATAACCTTTTCTATAACAAAAAGCTTTAGAGTTGATGTAGAAATAACTTGGGAGCCTAGAACACTTATCTCCTGGCAGTAGATTAAACCTTGTTCCGCTTGTTAGCTGGTGCCAGTTGACTGAACTCTGTGGAAATGAGCTCATTTCTGTTTGAATTTAGTGTGAGATGAGCACAGTAGCCAATTAAGTACTATTTGGGACAAAACCTAAGCGACACCTGCCCAGAGGAATGTAAACTCAAATCAGAACAGCATCAGTAGAAAGGAATTGAGTTCATTTCATTTACTTTAGTTTAAATATTAAATTGATGAAATTTTCCTTGAATTCTTCATTTAAACATCACATTAGTCAGCTTTGTCTAGGTAGGATCATTGAGGCTTGGCCTGCTTTTGTGTCTTTACAGAGAGTAGAATATTACAGAAAACTATCATATGAAGGAATGGGTCCCTCACCTCTTTGAGGCATTTAGTTAATCTAGCTGCTGCTGTGTTGACTCAGTAGCTGCATTTAATGAAGGCAAGCTTTCAGTGAAACCGTTTGCCTTAGGTCAGGTTCATGGCAACTCCTCTCTATGCTAATGAGTTAGGAGTGAAATTTTGGAATAGTTTCTTAATAGCATTCTCAGGCAGATAGTTCCACACCTGAACTATAAAATCATCTTCAGCCATCCCTATTTTCCATGAAGAACTACTTCTAATGACTTCTTAAGGTATTCCTTTTAGTTCATGGCAACTAATACTGATTCCTGTTGCTTTTTAAATATTTAAATATATTCCTAAGAGGTAAAATGTTGTGGTTTTTTTTTTTAAAGAAATGCTTTTGTATTTCTTGGGTTATCAGTATGAGAACTTTACAGAGTCACTAAATTTATTTAAAATATTGAAAAGTAATGTTATGGTGAACTTCCATATTGTCCAGTCAACCAATTTTGCCATGAAGTCATGCTTGATTTTTACTTCCCTCTCCTCATCACGTCTAGTCAGTTGCCCATTCTTGTCAGTCTGTCTCAGCAACATCTTTCCAAACCACTTCCTTCCCCTTGGCGACTACATAGCTGCTACCCTAGTTCAGGCCCTCGTCTCTCTCCTGAACTACTGAAATAGACACTTAATTGGTCTTTACCTTCTCCAGTCCATCTTCCATTTGCCAAAATAGTCTTCCTAAAGCATATCGCTATTTAATCTTCTTCATTTGTTCCCTGTTACCTGTAGGAAAAGAAGCACAGACCTTGGCTTGGTCAACTTTAAAAAAAAATTATAACCATATTTCAGTATAACTGACTTCCTTTGCAATCCCATGTGTTTTATGTATTTAAAAACATCATTTTGAGAAGTGGTCCATAGGCTTCGCCAAAGGGGGTCACAACGCACAAAGTTGAGAAGCCCTGACGAGGATGAAATAAAATTCTTTAGTTTGGCCCTCCACATCCTGGTTTCGGCTTCCATCTCTAGACGTTTCACATTACTTGTCTTCAACCACAGACATTGCTACATTCTAGCCAAAGCAGCTTCCTTTGTCCAACTCTCCTTTTCGTCTTTTGCCCTCATGCCTTTGCACAAAGCTATTCAACATGCTTGGCATTCATTCCCTTTTCACCTCTGCCCTTCAGAATCCTTAGCTTCCTCTAAGACTGCTCATGTTCTGCCTCCCTGGAAAACCTTGTCTAACTCATCTGGTTGCAAATAGGAAGTACTTGGTAAATGTTTGTTGAACTCAGTTAAACATTTATTCAGAATGGATAAGTTACGGGAAGTTGGGGTTCATTGATTATTCTGGGTTACAGGTATTATTAAATGTCATATACACATGGAGCACTGAGTTTCAAAGAATATAATAAAATACTCAGTCAATCAACAAGCATTTATTAAATGCTTACTCTGTGCCAGGCACCGTGCCAGGCTCTGGAGATACAAATACACATTTCAACTACTCTGAACAAAATAGCATCTTTCTTTGATTCAGAAGGAACTTATGTACCTGTCAGTGACTCAAAACCAGCATAATTAACATCAGGATTATTGTGGAGCAAAGATGTCAGAGAGAGTACCCGTAGCCTAACCAGATAAAATGTAACTGAGAAATATTTAACAGAAATAAAAATACAATAGTAATGTCAATGTGTAGTTTTCTAAGTCATTATGTGGTAGCATGGATCCTTATGAAAGGTTTAGTGCCCCATTTCTATTTGAGTTTGATATCCCTGTAGTGGTGTCTCTTGATCATTTATCTGTTGCTTATAAAAGTTTAGAACACAGGGGGGAAATTGAGTCAACTAAACTTTGTTGTTTAGATTTTGGGTAAATTAAAGTTAACTATATAATATAAATATTTAGCTGTCTGTGACTGAAAGAGGAGAAATTTCTATAAAATACCAGATTGTGAAGACTATATTGTTATTTTGGTTTAGTCCACGTATTGTCAGAGTAGCTTTTGATTCTTAATAGAGCAGCAAAGTGCTTTTGTTATAAAATAAGATTCAACAGTGAATTTAATATTTTCTCTTAATAATAGGCTTTGTTTGAATACATCTTTCATCATGAAAACGATGTTAAGAATGTAAGTTTTTGATTTCTACTTTTTCTTATACTGTAGTTCTTTAACTTTTAATTGGATTTTAATTTTATAAAATATTACATTTCTCAATGGATAGAAGTTATTAAGGATTCAACAAGTACAAATATTTTCAAAACCCATTGATGACTTTAGATAAGAAATGTAGCACAAATATGAATTGTTAGTATTTTTAAGTTCCTGGCATATAACATTAGCATTTAAACAGTATACATGTAAAAATCACTAAAACTACTTAAATGGGCAAAATATATTGAGTTAAGAATATTACACAGATTTTGTGTCAATGTGATGGTTATTTGGAGCACATTTTCATTTTAAGTAATAAAGGACGGATTCTTTAATCTATAGGAGAGCAAAAGGTGAAAGACAGGGATTTTTTTAGTTAACAGACAGTGAGGCAATGAAAATATTATTGTTTTTGGTTTGTATTTTATAGCTATCTTGCCTGTCTTCATTTCTTAATATTTTCACAGAAAGTTTACAGTAGTGTGGATAAGACTCATTGGATCACTTAGTCTCAATTAAAATTCATTTTGAATTTGCACATGGTAATATTTAAAATTTAGAAGTAGAGAATAAATTGTAACTTTATGAGCTCTATCAAATGAAATGTAACTGATTTTGCATAGTGTTCCAAAATGGTAGTTTTTGTTTAATGTTTCTCATTAATTAGAAAAAAAACAGTTTACATGTATATGTATACACACATACATTGGTGCATATCTGAATCAATCAACACTTAGTAACTGAGCACCTACTATGGAGACTACAAATGTTAAGTATGGGATATATTCTCTGTCTTTATGGAGCTTATAGGTAACCTGTGGAATCAGAGCTGGCACACATGAAATGTTGAGAAAACATTAATTGATAAACTGTATGGTAGTGACCATATAGTAACCAGAAAGGACACATAAGGGGAAGAGAAAACATGGACGGAAACAGGAGTCTGAAACATGCAGCTATAATGGACGCAAAGATAGGGAAATATAAGAATTGGAGGTAGGAAGAAGGTAGAGTCAATGGGAGAACATCATATTCAGGCAATTTGGAAGGGGTGAATAACTGAAACATGACATTTTGGGAAGCATTATGGTATGTGCTTAGGAATGTGCCATATTGTTGATGGGCTTGGAATAATCAGGAAGATAAAAGGGGCTAAATGTACCATACTATGAATCTGAAATACTGAATGGAGAAAGGAAACCCATAACCTGGCCAATCTTTTGTGAAATAAGGATAATAATACTTTTAATAGCCCCTGTGAAATAATACCTGTATGATACCTCTGTGAAGACCTCATAGGGCTGTGAAGACCAAATGAAATGTTGCTTGTAAAACAGCTGTCAAAGCTTAAAGCATCATATAAATGTCAGCTCTTAATATGAAAGGGAATATAGCATAGTATATAGAAAGTTGGCCTTTGAGTTAGAAAGTCCTGGTTTCAAGCCCTGTCTTTAACACATACTCTTTGCATGACCATGGGCAAGTTAGGCACTTTACCATTCAGTATCCTCAGAAGATTCTCTAAGACTATAAATTTCAGAGGAGCTATTGGTCTATATTAGTGGAAGGAGTGAAATCACAGGTCTATATCCTGCCCCTTAAATGAAAAGAATATTTTTAATAGTTGGGTAGGTCAACTAGTTTTGAAGGAAGATACATTTTAAACATTTTGGGTTTGAAGTGACAGAAGATAGCCAAATGAAAATGTCCCATATGCATTTGGAGATATAGAACTGGGTGTAGATTAGAGGTGAGGGCAGGAGAAGTAGATTTGGGAGCTATTCCACATAGATATAATCATGAAAATATTTTAGTAATGGATAAAATCATTGAGGAAGTGAGCAAAGAAAGAACAGAGGGCTGAGGATAGAGGTAGCCAGGAAACCATGCAGTTTTCTGAATAAAGCAAAATTACTTACATATATAACCATTATGTCAATGAAATGCCATTAAGTTGGGCTGTTAGAAGCTTTCAGTTCCATTGTAAAAGTTTGATTACTTATAAAAAAAGAAAGAAAAGCACATATGTCTGTTTTAAAAATTAGGGTAAATTTCTGAAATTTCAAGTTAGAGTGGTTGAGCATGATAAGGGAGATTGTTATTTCTTTGAAGATGTACTTAATACCTTAATAATTAATGGTTTGTGTCCTGAGAATATCTCTGGATGTCTTGGATAGGATTCAGTGTGGTTGAGAAACAACAGCTACGTTAAGTGAGCATATAAGAATAGTACCTCCTTCCAAGGAGTACACGTGCAAAGGACCAAAAGCACTCATGCTACCTGTGGTACAAATGCATTTTAGACTCTTGTGTTCATATATTTTATGAGTGAACTTATAAGTATTGCTTTTCTTGTTTATAAATATTGATTTTTTTTATTCCAAATTTTCTTTGAAGAAATAGAGGCTTTTGAGCTCAGGCAGTAAGAACATATGCCTGGGATTCTTAGTACTAGCTGAAATCTTGTACCAAGGGCAAGAAGGTGAGGAAATGTGTGAGTTTCGGATGGGAAACAGGGAAAATGAAAACCAGTTATATAATTCTAGTAAGGAAAATACTATTTAAAATTGGATAAAGAGTCACATGAGGAATGCAACACTCAAGAAACTGCTGTTTTCCAATACCTCAGGTACCAGGGTAATATGGAATGCCTAAAAATTACATGGGAAACAGAAACTGCCATATGAATTATTCCATATTGGATTTACTTTTGTATATCTCTTTTAGCACCTAGCATACAGTGTTACATTTAGTAGGCTCTTAATAAATGTCTATTGAATGAGTGGCATATCACAATAGAAAGAATAGAAAGAAAAGATTTAGATTTGAAAAACCTGGGTTTGAATCTAGTCTCTGCATCTCCTAGCTATGTGACTGTGCAGAGGCCACTGAAACTAATTAGTTAGTGTAGATCCCTAAGTCTCTTCCAGTTCTAAATAATAGGATATATTTGCTTCTGTGATCCTCTCTGAATCTCAGTTTTCTCCTCTGTAAAATGATGGTGATAATATTTGCATTCCCTACCTCATAGAATTGTGTAAAGGAAATACTTTTTAAGCATTAAGCTGATATATAAATGTGAACTATTATTATTTTTTAATTGTAAATATTATGTGGATAATAAAAATTGATTGCTTGAATATTCTAGATATGATTAATATTGAAAGCAGATTCTTTAATATTGTATCTGAAAGATATTTCCTAATTATGTTTGTAAACAATATACTTTGTTAAGAAAACATATTAGAATTCTAGTAAGGCCTTAGTGTGAAAGGTCACAGCTTTCTCACCTGTACCCCAGTAAAGAGCTAAAAATTGCATCAGACCAAATAATGGTACAGAAATCCAAAGAGAAAATTTAGTGTTTTCATCCATACCAAATCTCACAAAGAGATGGGCAAAAACCTTCATATCCACAAACCAGAAGCCTTCCAGTGCTTGGATCAGAGATGCTCCACCATCACCTGAATGGAGGGCGGGGAGAGGGGAGGACAGGAAGCTGAGACAGGACTAGGCAACATTCTGACCTAGATAACCCCAACTAGGAAAGAGGCCTACAGCAGCACTCTGACCTTAGATAATCCAGAGGGTCCTGACATCTGCAGTGTTCTCTATGGGGACAAGAAGCCCAGGGTGCTTATATGGGGAAGCCCGAGGGCTTCAGAAATGTGGCAGTTCTCTGACCAATCCGACCTGAGATATTGCCCACAAAGGGAAAGGGAGTAGGGAAGGGTGACTACAGCAGCCTAACCTGAGATTCTTCAGAGGCCCTGAAGACTTTAATTCTCTAAGCAGAGAATCCAGGGGGACCAGAAACTTGTCAGACATACTAGGGGAGGGGAAGTCAGTGGCAGGAGCTCAGGTAATTGAAGTCAGGACTATTTGACCATCCCATCCAGGAGTGTAGGAGGGACAGAACCCAGCCCTGGAGCAGAGTTACAAATCAGGAACAGAGACTGGCAATAGGAATAAAGAGAAGACACTGAATACTATGGAAAAACATTATGAATTAAGAGATATCCAAGAGATATACACAATTGAGTATTAACTTGGCAATTGAGTAATAACTTGGCAATAGCCAAAAGCATAGCCTTAGAGAGAAAAATGGCTTGACCTGAAGGATTATGAAAAAACTGGCAGAAATAAAGCCAGGAGTTGCAAAATGAAATTATAAGTGAAATAAAAGTTCTGGAGGAAAGAATTAGAAGTCAAATAACTAGTTAAAATCATTTAAATATAAAAATAGAAGTACACGTAATTTAGCAAAAATGCATAATGTACCATTATATTGTTTTGGGGATATGTTCCAAAAGCAAAGTAAGCACTCTGTGGTATCACTAGTTAGATAAAACACATATATTATAAACATATGGACATACCTATAAATGTATCTATATAATACAGAATGACATATATAGATATATTTTGCTAAACCACACATAATAGTATTATTATGTTTAAATTATTTGAATTATCTAGAATTTAAATTGTAAAAATAAGATCAAAGAAGATTATCAAAATATACTATAACCATAAATATATTTAAACATTAGACACCAACATGGAGATATCTGTCGACATATCATATATTATTAAAAAGTTAATACTTTTCACCCAATAATATATAAGAAATGGGATATATTTATAATTCTGCTATTTTTGCATTACTTTTAGATATGATGTGAATGAATATGAATATAAAAGATTTATATAAAGATTCATATAATGACAGATATTTGCATAGCCTTGGTCAATAGAGTTGATTGAAAATAAATAAGAAATATTTTTATACTGTTCAGTGATCTTACTGATTGAAATTTCCCCTCCTGTTTTTGCTGCCATTTTAATTTTTATTTAGGGGCTATAGGAAAAAACAAACCAAGAACCTAAAAGTTAGGCTGTTTCTCTGCATTTCCATCTTTCAAGTTGAAATAAGAGTTTTTCAAGCCCAGTAAGGACTTAGCATGGCAGCACCACTCCTTTATAGATATAGTTTTTCAGCACATTCAGGGGTCTCTCTTTGGGGCAAGAGAAGATTGAGAACAGAAAGGCAAGTAAGTAATTTTGCCGCCAAGATCTCCACCATGGCATATTATTGCCAGGAGACTCAGGGAGCAGCTTTGGCATGTCAGAAGGCAAATTTAGAAAGTCTACTATCCAGCGTGAGGAATTTAAGGACAAAGGCCTAAAAATTAACATACTGTAGCTAACCTTTTTTCAGAACTGTGTAACAACCATCCTAAAACTGAAGCTAAGGAATTTCTATCAGTTATTAGTATTATGGCAAATCTAACATTTTAGATGGTTTACTACAAGATAGGAAAGTTAAAGATTACATCTAACAAAAATAAAAAAAAATAAATTTGTGCTGGGTCCAGAAATCCCCCATATACCTTAACTGTAAAATATTCAGCATTGTTAGCACTGATGTTTTGGAGTAGCCATGTCCATTTTTAAAAAAATGATCATTATTAAATAAAACAAGAGAGATAGCATAGCAGGGTAGATAGAGAACTAGCCTTGGAATCAGGAAGAACCAGGTTCAAGTTTTGCTTGAGAAACATACTGTGTGACCCTGGATAAATCGCTTGACCTCTCAGTGCCCCAGATGACTCTCTGGAACTATAAATGTCTCTCTACAGTCAATGAAGGGAGTTTCCACTTTGGGAAGTCCCTCACAGTGATGAAATCATAGGTATGGATCCTCCCTCACACAATTAAATTAAATAAGATACTGATGTCAGGAAGGTATTTTTAGGGGGTTAGGGGATGGCTAGCCTATTTGCTATTTGTGAATTTGTGATGGGCTTTAAATGCCAAACCACAGAGCTTGTAATCAGTGCTACAGGCTATTTGTTGCTTGGAACCCTTGGAGTTTCTTGAAGAGGGTCAGATCGAGCTTTAGGAAGCTCTTTAGGCTGCTTGAGGCAGCTTTAGGCTGATGGTGCCCTCACTAGGTGGTACCCCTACAGAAACAGGGAAACTCTATAAAAGGGGTGGGGAATGACGGACTGTTTTGGAAATGTTGAATTTGAGATGTCTGTAGAACATCCACAAAAACTAGTACTTTTTTAAAGCTAAAAAACAACATAACCTTTGATTCAGGAAAATTTATATAAGCCTTTATCAGTACAGAACATAACGGGAATCTGCATATTAGCCTTGCTACACATTTTTATTACATCCACATTTTTAGTTATGTTTCCAATATGCAAACCTATCGCCATATTTTCCCACAACTTAAACTGGAATCTTAATGCCATGAATATAGGATTCAGTGTATAAATCAATACTTGTACCTCATCTCTGACTTCCAGTTTATCCAGTAGTATTTTTATATTTGTTAAATATTATTTTTTCCATGTGTATTGAAATAATATTCAGATATAAAGCATAGCTTTGATTGTGATCAACTGTTTGTTTCTCATCCACTGTTAGCCCTATGGTCTACAAGTAATTCTGTAAAGAAAACTGGTAAGGCCATCTGGAAGTAATGAGAAACTTAATTTCATGTTTGATTTTCAGATGAATGTTTTGGTTGACATCAATTGTAATATTATATTAATTTTTGTTTCTAAAGACAAAAAAATAAAGCAAACTAAAAGAATTGTTTTTAAAGGCTTTGGATTTGGCCGCCCTTTCCACAGAACACTCTCAGTACAAGGACTGGTGGTGGAAAGTACAGATTGGAAAATGTTATTACAGGTAAAACTCTTTATAATTATTTTTTAAGCCTAAATAGGACAGAATTTCCCAGAGTCCCAAATCTGATAAACCTCTTTTGGTACAATAGATGTGGATACAAGGAAATGGGAAATGTACCTTTGGATGGTTTGAGAAAATATTTATTTAACACCCATATGGAGGCAGAAGGATTTTAGTAATTTTTATGCCATTAATCACTTTTCTTTGGTACTTAAAGATTTCTGGCATAAATTTAACTTAATATTTATAGGAGCACAATGCCCCAGCATTTAGCACATCGGCTGGCACATTTCACTCATATCTGACTCTTTGTGACCTCATTTGGGGTTTTGTTGGCAGAGTTACTGGTGTGGCTTACCATTTCCTTCTTCAGTTCAGAGGATGAATGAGAAAACATGAGAAAACAGCTGAGGAAACTGAGGCAAATAGGGTTATGTGACTTGCCCAGGGTCACAAAGCTAGTTAGTGTCTGAAGCCAGATTTGAACTCAGGAAGATGAGTCTTCCTGACTCCAGGTCCGGCACTGTAGCCTGGCTGCACCTAGCTGCCTGCCTGGTACATAGTAGGCACATATTAGTTTATGTATTGATTGAATATTTAAATAAGTTTAGCAAGTTTTATTTATGATTATTTTGTAAGAATACTCAATAAAATTTTTAAATGTGCTTTAATATTGGAATGTGTGGGTAGGAGCATTATAGTTTATGTAAAAGGTATTATATGATTAAAGATCATTTGAATTAGTGAGACAAGGTTGATATTTCCTCTTATTCACTTAGGAATGTGACAAGCTCATTAGATTACATTTATTTCTCCTTAATTTCTAAATCTTTGGTGTCAATATAATTCACTGAGAAGGCAGAGGGGAATTCAAAGAATTTTAGAGTAAGGGTGTAAAGGCCTGAAATTTGAGAGAAAGAGAGAGAGAGAGAGAGAGAGAGAGAGAGAGAGTGTGTGTGTGTGGTGTGTGTGTGTGTGTGTGTGTGTGTATTTGCAGAAACTTAGATTTGTCTTTAACGCTTTATAAATCCCTGTGGAATGTGAGAAAGCTATGAGTAGATGAGAAATATAGTGTGATAGAAAGAATGCTGGATATGAAAACAGAAGGCCTGAGTTTATTAAATCTTGGTTTTTCCACTTTGTATCTGTGACCTTGGGAAAGTCACAGCCTCTCTGGGCCTGTGTTTCCTCAACTGTTGAGATGAAAGGGTTGGATTAGGTGGCCTCTTCTAGCTGTCTTCTATCTCAAAATCGATGATCCCTGTTTTTCTAGCTTTTTGGCCTGTCTCTGGAGCGGGATCCTTTAGCCTCTGAATCTCCTCAGAGTCCTTTAGAAGTCTCATTAATAAATAAGGTTTAGATCAGCTGGAGGCTTTATGTACTCATAATCATAATCTTTCCCAAAATCTTAAGGAAAAGATAGGACAGAATAATGACAGTTCCTCGTTCTGATTGCCTTTCAGAGTGTGAAAGGACAAACATGATGGAAAGCATGAATTTAGAAAATGAAAGCATGCTTAGATAGCCTTTTAAATAATGAGGAAACGACATCAACAGCCAAAAGGACAGGCTTAATAGAGGCTAAGTAGAGTTTAAGACTGACCTAAAAACAGCAACTTGGCCACTGATATCAGCTGGGAACGTCTCCCACCGCATCCAGGCCCATCTCCAGTCGTCCTGATCTATATCTTACCACTGGATCCAGATGGCTCTGGAGGAGAGGGTGAGGCTGGTGACTTTTCGCAGCCCTCCCTCACTTAAATCTAATTCACTTGAAAGTCAATGACGTCACCTTCGTGGTCCTCTTCAAGAACGAAGGACAATCAGTGACACCAACCACCTGTTTATATATACTGAGGCAGAAGGCAGATCCTGAGCTTGCTCCTCAGCCACCAACCCTACCAGTGTTAGAAAACAACAGGAAATGCTAACTGACGAAGAAGGGCATTTTTTGGTACCCAAAACGTAGAAAGTGTTTCTTTCACCAAAAGAGTTTCAAGGTTGGCTCCCTTAAAAAATTCTTTTCATTTCAGCAAAGGATATTTTCAAGGAAATAAATGACTTTTTTTAGTGGTGAAGATTTGAAAAAACAAAACAAAACATTGATTTGGGTGAATCCCTGTGTATCCAGTTGGTTATATGGACTAACCTGACCTGGCTGAGTGAAAACTGTTTCTGGGTGACTTTACTTAGCCATTTTTTGGTTCCTGTGGCCTGTGAATATAGAGTGTGGGACAGGCAGCTTTTCTCAAATACCATCTACCACATACCATACTTGTTTTGTGTAGATACTACTCTAAGAGTATTCTAGCCTGGGATGCTTGCTCTAGTAAACTACTATCATTTTATAAAAGTAACTTATGTATAGAAATTGCTTACTCGTTCTCCCTATTGTCTTGGTAGGATTAAATGCAGTACTTTTTATGTTTGAATAGAATTTGTGATCTTCTCATATTTGCTGTTAGGCTGGGAATGTACCGAGAAGCAGAAAAACAGTTTAAGTCAGCCCTGAAGCAGCAAGAGATGGTGGATACGTTCCTCTACTTGGCAAAGGTGGGTAAACAGCCCCAATTCATTTCAAATGAAATCTGTCATCTGAGAACAACTGAATTCTGGCTTCTACAAAGGAGAGATTTGCCAGCTTTTTAAGGAACGCATCACAAGTTCGGAGCTGACCTTTTTTTTTTTCTTCTTCTTAAGAAAAAAACATAATAAATATGTATTCAAAGAGACTCCATTCAAAAAATTAAAACAATTAACCATTGTACACACAGGTTTGAAGGTGTGGCCTGAGGGGAACAGAGAATGTCAGCCACCTCGGCTCTGTCTCCCATGAGGCTCCCTTCCTTGCTGTTAAGTCTAGTGAGGTCTGTTTGTTGGCTCATTTCCTGTAACTGATTCCTGCAACCACAGGAGATGGGGCTTCTGGGGTGTTCAGGATCGAAGCAAAGTTAATTCTGGGCTTTCCTGAGGCTTAAAAACGTTGGATAAAGTAAAGATGATCATCTCGTTTTGCTAAACTTTGAAGAGCTTTTTTTTTTTAAATGTAGACTATATTATAGTTGAAAAGGAAATGGTGTAAAAGAATGGTTTGTTCTTTAAAATGGCACCATACAAAAAATAAATGAAATAAAATTTCCATTGTGTAGTATGTGCCAGAAAAGCTAGCCATGGCGTAAAGGATAGTGAGACATTGGAACCAGGAAGATCTGGGTTCAAGTCCCTCCTCTGACACATACTGACTATGTGAGCCTGGGCAAATCACTTTTCTCTCAGTGTGAGGACCTAGGTTCATATTCTAGCTCTGATACTGTAACTTTGGGCAAATTCTTTTACCTTTCTTTAGGCTCAGTTTCCTTATGTAAAATGGGATGATCTTTAAGAAGCTTTCAGCTTTAAATTTATGACCTTCTGAAGCCCTCCTTGTAAGACATGGAAAGACTGCGTAGTGGTATAGCAGCAGAAGGGATACTCATAGCAATGAAATCAGTTGTTTGAAAAATGATGTTTTAAGCATAGAAATTACAAAGTAAAAATTGTAATTTTAAATTTGTATGCTACAAATTATATTCTCCATTTTAGAAGTTCTTTTATAAGTATGTGAAAGTTAATTTATCTATTTTATGTGTTGTTAATTTAAAGCATAGAAGAATGAAGAGATTTTGTACTTGGAATTTATTGTGTGGAAATGTAGGGGTTAAACTGCAGATATAATAAAGGTATCACTGTACGTTTCTGAGAATTTTTCAGTTAGACTCTAGAATTCTACTTTTTATTAGCAACAACATGTAGAAGAATAAATATGTTTTGTGATATAATAAAATGCATCTTGATTTTTTTTTAGGTTTATACCTCCTTGGATCAGCCTGTCACAGCTTTAAATCTTTTTAAACAAGGCTTAGATAAATTTCCAGGAGAAGTGACCCTTCTTTGTGGAATTGCTAGGATATATGAGGTACGGAGTCTTGAAAAATTTGTTTTGTAAGAAAGGGTGCCTACAGAAATATTACCCTCATAGCTCTTAAAGTCTCCTGGCAGTCGGGGAGGCTGTTTAGACGAGGGAAGGGTTTGATGGGAGAGGGGAGGAAGGGAATAACATACTTTTATAGAGTTTCAAGAGACCTGGAATTTAGCTCTGCTCCCTCCTGAGGTGGGGCGGAATGCTTTTATGTGTTCATTTAGTCAAGTTAATTTTTACCTCTCGGCTAAAGCGCTACTTTGTCAGGAGGCATTTATTACTGTGCCTACTGCATGCCACGTACTGTGATAGAGATCCAAAGGCAGAAATGAAATTAAATAGGCCCTACTCTCAAGGAGTTTGAATTCTATCAGGTGAGACAACATGTACATACATAAGGATATATCGAATACATACAAGGTAGTGTAGGGAGGGAGGGCACTAGTAGTGAGGGGAACCAGTAAAGGCTTCAGGTAGAAAGTCATGTTTGAGCTGTGTTTTGAAGAAAATAATGGGTTCTGGGAGGCATAGGGGAGGGAAGGAGTGAATTCTAGGCTTGGGGAATAAGCCCTGGGAATGGAGATGAAAGCACTATGTGAAGAAAAGCTTGCTTCTCTGTGGTGTGAAGATGGCAGCCCTGGGTTCTCAGAGGTTATCACTACAGAGCACAAGTTTTGACTGTTTTTACCAAAAAGTTTTTACCCAACTGTGGTATTTCTGCTTTTGTCACCAGCTGTCTTCCAGTTAGAATGCTGAAGCCATCTTTGACTCTAACCCTCATTCTCATCCTCCATATCCAGTACCCTGTTCCTCTTGGTTCTACTTCCACAATCTCTCTCACATCTCTTTACTTTCTTTCCATTTTCACTGCCACCATCCTAACTTTTTGCTTCTCACACAAACTACTGAAAAGCTTCCTAATCAGATTCCTCACATCTATTCTTGATTTCATACCATCTAATAAAACAGCCAAATTAATCTTGCTAACATAACATATAGCCTCTGATCTGCTGCTTCAAAATTTTTTCTTTTTTTTTTCTCCAAATCTCAGTGGTTTTCTTCAGCCTCCTAAATAAAAGGCCAATTCTTAAATCTGTCATTCAAGACCTTCTAAAATCTGACTCCAGCCCGCCTTTCCATTATCATCTCGTATTGTTGCCTTTTACATATTTTATATTATGACCAAACAGAATTCATCACTCTTCCTTGATTTCCCCCATCCCTGTTTCTGCTTATCCTCTTCCCTGGAAACACAATCCTCCTGTCATCCCTGCCTATTGAAATTCTGCTCACCATTCAAGTCTTAGTGCAAGTGCACTGGAATTCTCCTCAGTGGTTCTTCATCAGAATTCATATAATCCATTGTTTATCTCTCTCAGATCTTTACCATGTTTTAGGTATTTGTATACATGTCTTATCTCACCTATTGTCACCAATCCATACCTAACCTCCTAAGGGTAGGGACTATGTCTTTCTTAATTATCTATGTATTTCTCTCAGCACCTAACGCATTTTTTTTTACCTAGTAGATACTCAATTAATGCTTATTGTAGATGTTCCATTTTAAGAAGGTATGAAAATGAAAGTCCAGTTGTTCTTTGAGGCAAAGAAACAGCATTTCAGTTTGCTCAAACTAGTTGTATTTTTTATTTTTTTTTTTTACTAGCAAAAACAGATTTTCTCATGTAGCTAAGTTGTACAGTGGAGAGAGTGCTAGACCTGGTGTCGGGAAGACTAGAATTCGTATTCCACCTCAGATACTTAATAGCTGTGTGATCGTGGGCAAGTCACTTAACCTCTGTCCCTATTTTCTCATCTGTCAAATTTAATAATAACACCTACCTCCCAGGGTTGTATTGAAGATAAAATGAGATAACATATGTGAAGTCCTATGCAAACCTTAAAAGTTCCATATACAGTTCAGTTATGTCTGACTCTTTTTGACCCCATGGACTATCTCTCAAAGTCTATCCAAGTTCATGTTCATTGTTTCCATGACACTACCTATCCATCTCATTCCCTGCCGTCCCCTTTTCCTTCTGCCTTTAGTCTTTCCCAACATTGGGTCTTTTCCAATGAGCCCTGTCTTCTCATTATGTGGCCAGAGTATTTAAACTTCAGTTTCAGTATTTGACCTTCCAGTGAATGTCCTGAATTAAGCTCCATTGTTGTTGCTGTTGTTGTTAAATGCTAGCTATTTTTACACCAAAATGATTATATTTATGGTCAACTATTTTTATATTTGAATCCATTGTTGAAAAAATTAATGTAGCTAAAATGAGATTTAGATTAGCAATCTTGTTTTAAATCCTTTGAAAGGGTTAGGCACAGTTCTTTAAAAAAAATAGTTTGGCATAAAATTTCCATAATCAGAGAACAAATGAACCAAAATTTATTGAGTATCTACTGTGAATCTGATCTATGACCCCAACCTTTTCCATGATCTTAAACCGGAGTCTTTGCCTCAGGACCTGAAAGAATAATGAAATAGCATCTATTTTTTAAAAGTTAACAGAGATTAATATATCAATGATTACAATATAAAACCAGCCCTTTAACCTTTAGGCTGCATGTTCAGTGCATCTAGGGTCCTCATAATGGTTCCTCTTGACTGCTACTCAATAGCTACATAAACCTGGGCAAGTCCCTTAACTTCTCTAGACTGGAATTCCCCATCTGTCTAATGGAGTTGGAATAGATGACCTCTGAGGTCCTTTCCAAATCTAAATCTGCAATTTTGTGCCTGGGCACATAGTAAGTACTTAGGAAATATTGATTGATTGAATAAATGAATGACTGGATAGATAGGATTCCAATAAGTGAAGAAAAAAGCCAAGCACATTCCATGAAGGAGGAGGTAGCAGAGCATAAGGATGGAATTGGAATGTACCTGGTTCACTCAGGGACAATGAAAAAAGTGACTGAATATGACAGTTCTCCTGACTTTTAGCTCTATACCACAAAATGAGGTTTCTGATATAGTCCTTTCTTCATTATAGAATAACAGACTTAGAATTAATTAGTAAAGTTTGTTATTTGGAGGTTACCACTTATTTTGCCTTTGGTGACTTTTGTTCTATTTCACAACATGTTTTTTCCTCTGGAGGCATTAACATTTGTTCATCATAATCATGTAATCCTTTTTAAAAAATTTATCTTTCCATTGTTTGTTGTTTACCTGTTTTAAAATGAAATTTTAGTATTCCATATTGTTTATTGTTCCTTTTATATGCCTGTTAGTGTTGGGAATGATTTATTTAGTTAATGCTTTCTGTTGTGGTTACTGTTTTCCTTGCAGTAAGTATTCTTCCATTGCTAAAACTGGCTTCTGTTGTTTTTTTTTTTTTAATCAAAAGGGTATAAGTCAGAAGTGTTCTTCAACTTCTTTTGTAGCTTGCTTTCAATTTACATAATATTTTCAATGAATTTAAAATGGAATTATAATTTATTAAATGGCTTAAAAATGACCTTTGTGAAATCATTTAGGTGATATTAATTTGAGTTTTCTTAAGTTAATGAATTTGAGGGGAAAATTAAATCTGTACACAAAATGTTTCACATAACTAGCTACTTTAACTATATTTAAGTATATTAAAATGAGTTATTGAAATTAATTTTATGTGATTACTGTAAAAAGTGCATGTGTAGTCCTAATCTTATAAAAATGAATATTTTAGACTCTTAGACTTATAGAAGTAGTAAAATTTGTTTTTCTGAAGTTGAAAGCTTTTTTTTTAGCCAGTTTTCAGGCTGATGTATACCACATGTTAGATGGTGTCTGCTAACAGCAAAGTGTGACATTGCAACTTTGCCCTACTAAATATAAATATACAGAGGAGATCAGAGCTAAATTCAGAAAGCTGTGAGTATAGAGTCAAACGATTCCTACCTAGCCTTGGGAGAAATTCCCAATATTATGGAAAGGGTGCTGTAGGAGGAGGGAATAGTTTAAGAAACAGGAATTTCTCCTGGATTTTAAGGTAAACCTTTATAAGTGAGCCTTAAAGGGTGTGTTAGCTTTAAATAGAAATGTGAAAAATAACTGGTTTCATAAGGATGTTATAAGAATTTACTCTGACTTCAAATTACTCGTAACATTTTACTGGACTACTTATATATACTTATATAGTTATTTTTATGGTCGTGCTACTGCTTTCTGAGAGTCATCTGCACAGAAGTGATAGTTGAACTCATGGGAGCTGATGAGATCAATGAGAGAGATTGTAGAAAGAGAGTGGAGGGGAGGTTAAAGCAATGATGAAGATCCAGCAAAGGACAGTGAGAAGGAATGGCCAGATGACTAGGGGGAGGACCTGGAGAGCAGAGTCAGAAAAATAAGGAGAGGAGAGAATGTTTAGGAGAAGTGGGTGGTCAACAGTGTTTGGACATAAAATATTACATCAGTGAAAAGTTTTCAACTTTAAGAGAGCAATAATATGAGTTTCTGCTTCTGCCACATACTGTCTTTGACCATTGGCAAATTGCTCCAGGAAGCTCTCAAAAATTATAAATTGCACAACAGTTGGCAGTCCAAAATTAGCGGAGTTTCCTCTTCAGGAGCTCGCTACTCTGATGAAATCACAGATGTGTGTGTGTGCGCGTGTGGGGGGCGGGGAGAGAGAAAGAGAGAAAGAGAGAGAGAGAGAGAGAGAGAGAGAGAGAGAGAGAGAGAGAGAGAGAGAGAGAGAGAGAGAAATTGGGTAGAAATAAATATGGTGTTACATTGTTGATTTTTGTTTTGATGGAGAATAGGCAATGAATAATATCTCATCAGCTGCTGAATACTACAAAGATGTTTTAAAGCAGGATAATACACATGTGGAAGCTATTGCATGCATTGGAAGCAACCATTTTTATTCTGACCAACCTGAAATAGCTCTACGATTTTACAGGTTTGTTTTATATTAGATTTGACCAAAATATTTTCCTAGTAGGACATGTATCAGTGAGAGTAAATCTTTTCTTTTCCTTTTAGACCCTCTTGCCCAATTCTTCTTGAACCCGTGGTGGGCAGTTGCCAGATGGCATTAGCTTTTGGTGCTAGAACACAGAAAAGCTAGCAATGACAGAGACAAAACTTATGATCTGGTCTCCATAATCACCGTGATCTAATGACCTGAGCGAGCCAGTTACAGACATTAAACAGAAAACAAATAACAGAAAAAAAGACAACACAAGTCAAAATTTAGAGGTACATTTTGGATCTGACCCATGTGTCAGATGGATCCCAACTTCTAACTCAGAAGACTGGGTTCAATCTTGGGGTCCTTTCTCCAGTAATACCTTTGATAGCTTGTGTCCCCACCCAGCATCTCTCCTGGGAACATACAAAACTGGTAAGAGTTTCTCAAAAGGCCCTCTGCTCCCTTATAAGCTTTCAGGCTATCAGAGTCATTAAATGTAGAAAGGACTTGCGTATAAGCCCCTTGAAAAGCAATTTAGAGAGCCAGTGATCTTTGTATCCTGATCTAGAATCTAGTTAAGTCAATAAGCATTTATTAAGCACCTACTGTGAACCACGCATCATGCTAAGGGCATTGGGTTTGGAGGTTCAGCTGACAGTCCCTGCAAACTCATAGCAGCAGTTAGTGAAGCCCCTGCATCTCAAGCAGAATCACAGGTCCTGAGATTGGTGCAGCATCTCATCTGGTGCCACTCCTCTGACTCTTGGGTCAGTGTTGCTCTAGCAATCAGGCCCAGCTCCCTCACTCCAGTCTGGGCCTCCTCTCATGCCCATATTCCCTAGGCCCAGCTTTGGCAGTCTGGTCAACCATCCCTCTCTGCAGCCTCTTGTTTATTTTCCTAACTCAGCAGCTCTCACTTAGCGCTTCCTGTGCCTGACTGGTGGCATCCCTTGTGTACGTGTGCCCTTAAAGTTCTATCTGTCCCATTCAAGGGCAGGGAAGGGAGCTGCCTCAGTACCAGCTGGGGTACACCTGTTACATGAGCGTAGTCCCAGAAGAATCAATAAAAGGGAATTGAAATATCCCATCACATACCAAAACCGAAGTGTAAAAAGTTGACATTCATTGGCTGTATTTGGCTGTAAAGAATATTTCATTTTTTAATATTTTTGTTTTGGTAATATAAGAAAAAAAGCTTCTAGAGAAAGGAATATATATATATATATATATTTTTTTTTTCTGATTTGACTATTAGACACATATTTCCCATGAATAATGAATGTAATTACAAAGAATAAGGTTTTTTGTGTTTTGTGTATATGTATATGTATGTTAATTTAATATAATCATGCTTCCTTTATATTCTTTGGAAGGAAGGATAATCATATAAAGTAGTCATTTCTAATTTTTTTAAGTCTTAAATTTTAATGTTGGATTAAAAACAAACTATGACTTTACCTTCTAAGATTTTTGTCTCTTCACACAGGCGACTATTGCAGATGGGTGTTTATAATTGCCAGCTTTTTAACAATCTGGGCCTCTGTTGCTTCTATGCCCAGCAGTATGATATGACTCTGACCTCATTTGAACGTGCCCTTTCTTTGTCTGAAAATGAGGAGGAGTCAGCTGATGTCTGGTATAACTTGGGACATGTAGCTGTGGTATGTATTTCAGATGTGACCATTTTACCATAAAATGCTGAGCTGTACATATTCCCCAGCTGTTATAAAACCCAGGGTATTTGTATTTCTGGCAGGAAGATTAGAGGTTCCTAGCAGTCATGACAGTTCAATTCAGCAAATCCTTCTTGAGAACCTGTACGATATGCAAAAAAACTCTTCCGGACACTGAAGGGGATACAAAAATTAGTAAAGACTAGGTCCCTGCCTTTTTAGGAACTTACGTCTAATACAATCAATGAGACACATGCTCACAAAGCAAAATATGATAAATTGCATTTATCATATCACAGTGTGCTATGGGAGTCTTAGAAATCATCTTTATTTTACACATGAGGAAACTAAGAGCCTAAAGGGCAGACAGATGGTAAGAAGTAGAGCCAGGATTTGAACCCAGATCCTCCAGCTCTCTATCCACTACAAAATTAAAAGCTCCTGCGGGACTACTGAAATGTAATTGTTGTTACTTTTTTTCTAAGTCTTTTATGAGAAAGGAAGAGAAAACGACAGTGGGAGAAAAGCTCTATTTTTACTGAAGAAAAATAAGACATTTTCTTTTGTAGGGAATAGGAGATCTGAGTTTGGCCTATCAGTGTTTCAGGTTGGCTCTAGTCAACAATAACAACCACGCAGAAGCTTACAACAACCTGGCTGTGCTGGAGATGCGAAAGGGACATGTCGAACAGGTTGGTGGATTTACAAAGAAGGCAAATGACTGAATGTACTTTTTAAAAAAAAAAAGTTAAAATATGCAACTATCCATGTGTTAGTAACAGAAATGGCATGTGAGTCTGATAAGTGTCATGACAATATCCACTAATCACTTGAACTCTAAGAAAAATGTTTATCAGGCTTAGTGCGACACTTGGCAGCATTTACTGTGGGAACATTTAAATCGGACTCACTCCATTGTTCATCTGTACTTTGTGTACCAGCATCTTTTCAACTGTTTGGTTTTAGTTTATTTTTTCTTTAAGTGAAAGTAAAGCTTTGTTATTATTTTGTTAAGGAACATGTGTTGCTTGAATTTCTTTTATTGTGAAGCACAATTATTATAATGTCCACCAAATTTTATGAAAAATTAATTGTTAAATATGGCCTTCTATAAAATTATATTTCTTTTACCTGTATTAATTTTGTAGTATAACCATTATAATAATAATTAGGTCATTTTAAGCCTGGGGCAATATAATAGCCCCTAAGGTCCACCTGGTTTTCTCCTGTGTGGCTTTAGGAAGTTCATTTTAAATGCAATTATGAGTTCCATCATAATCTCTTTGAGCTCCTAATTAAGTAAATTGCTAATATTTAGGCTGATTGGACTCTGTGCCTATATTTACATTTATATCTAGCTCCAGTTGATCCAGCAGTGGGGAACCTATGGCCTCGAGGCTGAAGGTTCCCCACCCCTGTCCTAGACTTCCTCTGCTATGCTCCTGAGCTGGTACCTTCTCTCTTCTCCCCCCTTCAACTTTCTTTTATGTGTGATCTTCCCCCATTAGAATGATATGGTCACCCAAAGTTAGGAAGATTGATTCTTACTGACAAAATTTTTTTTTTTGACTGAACCTTTGAGTTCATTGGCTTAGGGAGCTCCTTGTGAAGAAACTCCTACCAGTGCCAATCAGCAACTGTTTTGCATCTGTGAGAGTTGCCCGGGACACTGAGACATTAGGAGATTTTCCTAGGGCGTGAGGCAGGTCGATGTCAGAGGCAAAAGACTTGGTGTCCTAAGGACACCGAGACCAACTCTTTACCCAGTATTCCACTCTACTTCTAATCAGTGGCAGACCAGGGACAAACTAATGTTCTAAAATGAGATCTTATAGAGTGGATGCTGAAGTTGTATCTGTATGAGACATGTATTTATTGTGTTGTTAAAAGGACAAAGGCTTTTTTGTCCCTTCTTATATGTCTTGCATCTTGTGTTTTGGTGAAATGGTTGCATCAGTGACAAGCAGCCCAGCCTTGTAGCGACTACATTGAACTTATCTTCAGAAGATGTGGATTCAAGTCCCACCTTTTCCACTTAATTAACTGTGTGGCTTGGGGCAATGAACACAACTTCTCTGAGACTCTTTTTCTTCACCTATAAAATGGGTAATGGTAATTACTGCTACTGGGTCAGGGTTGTTATAAGAAAGGAAAAAAGATATGTAAAGTGCTAAATAAATATGAGCTATTGTTATCACACCAACCCATTTTGACCATTTAAAAAGTTGCCTTCTGTGTGCCTTTATGTAATGATTAATTCTTTCCCCCATGGATATTCAGAAGCAGCATACCATAGTGGGTAAAGACCTGGCAGGGTTTGTCACATCTCTGTCACGTACTAGCTATGACCCTGAATAAGGCATTTAATAACTCAGTGCTCCAGGCCAGGGATGAGAAACCTGCAGCCTTGAGGCCACGTGTAGCCAGCCTTTTGACTAAGTCCAAGTTTTACAGAACAAATCCTTCCCCCGCCCCTGCCCCAGGAGTTCTCTAAAGCTGTATAAGCAGTTAGCTGCTTTGTAGGAGTTTCTTCTTGAGAAGTTCTCTATCATCAATGAAATCAAAGGCCCATTCTCTGTTCAGGTAGTTACTTAACTGCGCTGCTGAATGGAACTAGAGGAAGATATAAAACCAAGCTGACTGGGTGCACCATAATTCATACTATCCTATTTCAACAGGGCCCTTATTGCTACAAAGCAATACTTCTAATTCTCCCTAATTGACTTCTCACTCCCCACAAAAGAGATTCTAAACTTTTCCCTCATCTAGCCTCCCATATCTTCCCTTCCCATTCTGCTGAAGACCTTACCTCCTGACTTTCCTGAGAAAATAAAGGCCATTGATGTGAGCTCCTTCTTTCCCCCTTCTCTTCATTGTAGAACCCCTTGATATTATCCCCACTCTCACCTCCTTTATTCCAGGCTTTTGACAGTGACGGGCCCCTTCTCTTTGCCAAGACTAAGGCCTCTATGTGCTCCTGATCCCATCCTCTCCTGCCTTCACCAGGAGTTTGTAATCTCAGGCATACTCAGCCTCTAATCTTCAGCCTCTCCCTATCTGCTTCCTTCACACATGCCTAAATGTCCCCAGTTGTTATGCTATGTTTCCCCTCCCTTTCTCAGCCAGATTTCTAGAAAAGGCAGCTTGTATCTACTTCCTCTCCTCTCATTTGCTCCTCAGTCCTTTTCGATCTGGCATTTGGCTTGAAACTGCTTTTTCAAAGTTACCGGTGAACTCTTAATGGCCACATCTGATGGTCCTGTCTCAGTCCTTACCCTTCGCACCCTATCTGCTGTATTTAACATAGCTGACCACCCTCTCTTCCTCTGTACTCTCTCCTCTCTGGATTTTCAGAACACTGCTGTCCCAGCTGTCCGCCTACCTATCTGACCATTTCTTTTGGGTCTCTTGCTGACTCATCATCTATATCATGCCCCATGACTGTGGGTGTTCCTTAAGGCTCTTTCTTGGGCTCCTGTGAGTTTAATTATCATCTTTATGAAGATAATTCAAATCTCTGCATCTTGTCCCAGTCCCTTTCCTGAGCTTCAGTCTAGCATTACCAGCTGCCCATTGGATATTTCAAAATACTCAAATTAAACATATTCAAAAATAGAATTCATTCCCCACCTCTCCTTAACCCAACTTTTTCCCAAACCTCCCTGTTTTTGTTGAAGGTACCATCATTTTTCCATTCTCCCAGGTCTGTAGCCTCAGTATTATGCTTTACTCTTCATTCTTCCTCCCCCATATATGCAATCAGTTGCCAAATAGTGATTGATGCTTCTGTTTCCACAACATCTCTTACATCAGATCCCTTCAGTTTATCCACACAGTCCTCCATCACTCTCCCCTAGATTACTGCAACAACCTCTAATTGGTTTCTTCCACACTTTTCTCTCCATTCCATTCTTTCTGATGCTTACATTGTCACCAAAGTGATTTTCCTTCATCTCAGACCTTACTAGGTTGGTCCCCTACTCAGTAAATTCTAGTGGCTCCCTGTTGCCTCTAGAATAAACTATAAGTATACACTCCTCTGTTGAGCTTTTAAAGCCTTTTACATCCTGGCACCAATCTGTCTTTCCAGCCTCTTTGGATATTCCTCCCCACTCCTGTGCTAGGTATTTTAGTCACACTGGTCTCTCTGTCCCTTACACACAGCACTCCAGCTCTCATCTCATGCCCTTGGTCTGGGTGTCCTTCATCCCCAGAATGCATTTTCTTCTTGCCTCAGCTTTATAATTTGTTTCTCCTTCAAGATGCAGCTTAAGCATAGCCTCTTACATGAGGCCTTTTCTAATCCCTCCAAATGCTAGGGCCCTCCCTTTTTAGCTGCCTTGTACTGAACCCCTATTCATATGTATCCTCTTTATATATTTACTCTGCATATGTACATGTATATGTGTGTATGTATACATTTATAAATGTGTATTGGGTGTATGTAGATATGTATGCTCACCCTTCTTACTGACTCCCCATTAGAACCGAAGCTTCTTGAAAGTAGAGTTATCCCTTCCACATCATGGGTTAGGGATGCAGCCTGCGATCTGGAAAATCATAAATCTGGAAAAATTTTTTGGCCCTCCCTTTGTACCAGAGAAGAAGTCTGAATTTTTTCTTTTTCTTTTATGGGGTGTTTACAGTACCTTATTGTAAAATTTGGGGTTAAGTATTTGGTCATAGGCTCTGTGTCATCTGCTGTCCTTCACGAGTCATCTGCAGCTTCCACAAGACTCCCCCAAAATTCCCATTTAGTTTCTTATGCCAAGCTGCGATGCATTGAAACTGTGATGGGGAAAGTCGTGATGTGGAAGGGATAACTGTAGTGATTATTTCATTCTCTGTGTATCCCCAGTGCCAAGCACAGTGGCTAACATATAAAAAGTAAGCAGGTTTTTTCCCATTATGTTAATATGATTCTTAGCATTAAGGAATGCTGTCGTTTGATTTACACATTTATTTTCCTCCTCTCATCCCTGACAAAGTATATGCTACAGCAGGTTTAATGTCGGCCTGAGCATTTCAGCTACAGCTTTTCAGTTGCTGATTTGGGGTCCAGAGGATGCTTGTATATACATCTCAGTTCTCTATTGTATATGTTCCTTTGGTCCTTTAGGGGACAGGCAGGGATGAGCATTTTGCTGTTTGAGCACTTCAGAGAGCAGATATCCTGTCAGCTTCAATTCCCTTCTCCTTCAGAAGGATAGCCAGCAGGGCCGAGTAAGACATCAGTGCCATGAAGGATGGATGCTCCCAGCATGTATTTTTCTCTCATTCAGCTTACTACATGGGGTTTTGAAGATTACTGTTGCCCTTTATTTACCATAGAGAACAGGTAGTAAAAAAATCAAAACTTAATCCAACAGCAGAACCCCAAATATATGAAGGATTTTTTTCCCTTTTATAAAACTTTTATTCTTCAGATAATATTTTGAGTTGAGCATTATTTAGAAGTGTAAGACAATCAAAACTGTTATTCTGCCTTTAAATCTTTAATCTTTAAATATGATAGAAACTTTTTCTCACTGGTTCTTAAAAATATTTTTATATATTTTGCCCCAGTTGCTGTTATTAATAATATTATTTGTTTAAGGTTCAAATTTTCTTACAGAACATCCATCAAAATACCTTGTTTATGGTCCATTAATTCTTTTGTGCTTGTATGTATCTCTTTTAACCTAGGCAAGAGCCCTGTTGCAAACTGCTTCATCTTTAGCACCCCATATGTATGAGCCTCATTTTAATTTTGCAGCACTCTCTGATAAGGTATGCCCAACTGTACTTATCTTTTATTAGTTCTGTTTTCTTCTTCATTGGTTAAAATAAAAGTACAGCAGGATAAAGAAATCCTTATTTTCTTGATAAATGCCATATCAAGGCAGGATGGTATACTAGAACACTGACTGTGAATCTAAAGGAATCCTTAGGTTCAAATCTTGGTTCCTACCATTTATTGCCCATCTGACCTTGGACACATCACTACCTTCTTTGGACCCTGGTTTCCTTATTTGTAAAATAAGGAGTACAGATGATCTCAGATCTTTTCTAGCCAAAATCCCACTAGCCTGCCTGAATATGATAATTTTTCTCAACATTTAGGTTGAAGAAACTATTTAGTTGAGAGGCAAGATGCCGTAGTGCACAGAGCGCCCATTTTGCTGTCAAGATAGCTTGAGTTCAAGTCTAGATCTGATAGTGCTAGCTGTGTGGCCCAAAATCTACCAAGTATAGACATAAATTTAACCCTTTATCCAAAACATGTTCTAAGTAGAACAGTCAATGTGAAGAAGCTATCTATCCTCACTTATAATTCTGTTTTTAAAAATAAGATTGCTAGGGACCTATGATTTCATTAGTGTAGTGAACTCCCAGTACAAAAACTGTCTTGATCAATGTGGGTAATCAACTGCTCTGAAACTTAAAGTCTCGCAAAGTTGCCTTGGACATTGAGAGGTAAAGTGATATGTGCAAGGTCACACAACCAAGCCTGCATCAGAGCTAGCATTTGAACCCAGTCTTCCTTACTCTGAAGCCAGCTTTCTATTTACTACAACACTTTACCTCTTTTAAAAAAAAAAAGATTATGTTGGTTGGCTGTCTGAGAAGGGAAATATACTGGGGAAAACTACAATGATGTAAAAAGCAGTATAAACAAATAAAAACATATTTTTAAAAAGACTGTTAAGCATAAATATGATGTGTCATCTTAGGGAAACTATTGTATTTTAATCCAGTAACATGCACAGGAAAGATCTTTTGTGGCAAGATGCTGTGTACTGGTAAGAGAAAGCAGTATTCTAACCAGAAAAATTACTAGAATTGAAATAATTAAATTTGCTTTAATCACTGATTGAATCTCAACAAAGTCTGTTCAGCTTTCTTTGGTTACAGAAATAGATAAATACAGATTCTTTCAATTTTCCTCTTTGTGTCTCTTTAGTACCAGACTTTAAAACAAAATCATTATCTGTTCCCTGCAAACATTAAAATCCCAAACCTCATTTTAAAGAGTTTAAGCCATATTTATCTCAATATTTTTGTCTTTAAGAAGCTAAATAGAGTACAAAATATATTAGTTTTGAATAATCTTATTTTGCATTTATTTCCATGTCCTTAAAAGTATGTCTTTGTATGAAGTATATTATAGGGGTTGTTTGTTGTTGGTTTTTTTTGATACCTCTAATTATGCATATACTAATTATGCATAATTGCATGGCCTACCCTCTCCTACCTCCCCAACCCCCCCAAATAAATCTATTAATTTCCAACTGGGCTGCTCATATTTAACTTGACACAATACTTCAGATGAGTAAAATCTTTAAAAAATAATTAAAAAGCTGTCTGATTCTAAAACTAAAATCAGTATAGCCAGTTGATCCAGTATTTCTGATATAGTGACAACAACACTGGATTTGGTATCCACAGACTTGGATTTGAATCCTGGCTTTCTGTGGTAACAAAAGGCAAGTCACTTAATTTTCTGGGCTTTCATGTCCTTGGTTGTAAAATGAGGGGTTAGACTGGATGCACCCTGTGATCCTGTATCTGTATAATATGCATTTACTGTACTTTTCTTGATATGTAGTTGAGTGCCTCATTTATTTCTTACAGATAGGAGACCTGCAGAGAAGCTATGTGGCCGCGCAGAAGGCTGAAGCAGCATTTCCAGATCATATTGACACACAACATTTAATTAAACAGTTAAAACAGCACTTTGCCATGATTTGATTGCTCCTCCTACCAAACGTGCTCTTAGGAAGAGGCAGACATCATAATATTAGTACAGATATTTTATCACATGAAGCTTAATAATATACCCTGTGCTGATGGGAAGAGAATTGGAGGGTTAGGAGATTTAACTTTAAAGTACATAATAAAAATTTTCTAACGCAGAATTTTTATGAAATGTTGTCTGTAAACACATGTAGAAGCTGTTGAAGAAAGGCATGACCTTAGTAGATAGATGGTAGGTGCTTCCCTGTAATGTTTACAAAACACCTGAAAGGATTTTAAGAGTATAATTGGTATTTAATGTTCTTGGAAAAGCCATTAAGCATATTAAAGAGTGAAAAGGCAAAAATTTGCTTTTCTAACTGCATTTTTATTAAGAGTTTGTGCATTTATTCTATGTAGAAATGTTACTTCTTAAAAGAAAAAACTATTGAAAACTTTTCATATTAAATATCCTAAGAATACTGTATATTTTCTAGTTTCTTATGTTTTAAAATAAATATTTAATCCATTTGTCACAGATTTGATTTGTTCAATTCTTTTGTTTTATCATGTCGGTTTGTTTTCAGTAAGGATTTTTAAACACAAAGCATTAAGAAAGCATTGATTCTGCTGATGAAATAATTACCTTATATTAATTTTATCATTAAGGTGGAATGGTATCAACACATTAACAGTTGTTTAGTAGAGACTATTATATTGTTACAACAGCATTTATAAATTTAATTATTTATCTGTACGATAAAATTTAAAGTCAGAATGAGATTATCAAAATTTAATTATATCCCGGGAAATATTTCTCCCTACTTAGAATTATTTTTATTGCTAAACAATACTTTAGCTGTTACTAAAATTTTGATTGAAGAAAATATATTTTAGGGAAAGGATTATCCCCATATATTCCAATTTGGATTTGAGGAAATCATATTAAAATAGTTAAAACATGATAAATGTACCTTTCAACTTTCACTGAAACATGTATTTGTTATTTTTTTTTTCACTATTTTACAACCAATACTTCTTAAATAAAAGACCAAAAATGGAATTATTTGACTTTTCCCCAGTATTATGTGCTACTTTTTACTTATATTTTTAATAACTCTGTGCACCTAAGGTCTGTCAGCCTAGTGACTTAGTATCAGGAAAACACCCTCTTTAGGGGCCTTTATCCTATTAGAAGGATGACTATAAATAAACAAACATATAAATAACTAAGGAGCTTTAAGGGACTGGGGAAGATTAGACCTGTGTGCACTGTAGGGGCTTCTCATTTACCTGAACATTTATTATCTGAAACCCCACAGTTAGGCTGCATTCTGTTTTGGCCCAGACTTGTTATTTACTTGGTAAAGGAAATCTCCTTCATTGATGTTGCATCAACAACCTTTTTGCCATTTGTAATCTTAGAGAGTTGCCTGGGGCATTGAGAAGTGAACTGACTTGTGCAGGGTTACACAGCCAGGACGCCCTGGAGGTAGAAATTTTACCTAGGGACTTCTTGACTGCAAGGTTGGATCTCTCATCACTGTACCATGCTGCCTCACATGATCTTATCATTCACTCTCCTTATCATTATGCCCTGAAGTCAAACATGAAGTGAAAAATGTGTTATCCTACAGTTTTGAAGGAAAAAAATATGGAATAAAATGAAGGTTTTTCTAAGCCACCTCTATAGTGGTTCTTTTACCTGTCTGGTCCTTTTCAGTTTCCTTTGTGGGATGATCATCTATGTTCTGCTGTGTGTGGATGTCTTCACTCTGTCCCAGGGACCTCTCTCCTTTTGATGCTTTCTCAGTGATCTTATTAGCTTCCATGATCTAACCCTCCTCTCTCTCCTGAGCTATAGTCCTGCATCTTCAACTAGGTTCTCAGACTCAACTGTACAAAACCAAATTCATTAATTTCTCCTTCTAAATCTTTCCTTTTAAACTTCCCAATTTCTTTCAAGGAGATCACCATCCTTTTAGCCACTGGGGTTTACTACTTAAGAATAATCCTCCATTCTTCATTCCCACTCCTCACATATAATCATAGCCCCTTATTACCTCTCATATGGATGATTTCAATAGCCTCCCAATGGACATCCTAGCCTCTGGCCTCTCATATCTTCTCTGGGTTCAAATGTGACCTCTGTGTGTGTGTGTGTGTGTGTGTATAGACACACACTGAGGTCGTACGTATGTGACCTCATATACATACATACAATATGTGTGTATGTATATACGTGTATATACACATGTACCTACATGCACATACATACATGTGTGTATATATATATATACATATACATATACATGCATGTGTGTGTGTGTGTGTATATACAGACATATATATACAAAGAGGACATTAATACCTTCTTTCTCCCCAGTTAGAATTTAACTTACATGTAGGCAGGAACTATCTCATTTTTGTCTTGATCCTGAGTACCTAGCAGTGTGCCTGGTACATGGTAGGCATTTAATAAATGCTTACTGAATTGAATTGAATTTTTTTTGCTTTGGCATGATCTCATCCACTCCCATGATTTCAGCTACTTCTTTGCAGATTAAAAGCATCTCTATATACAAGCTCTCTATTATGCATCTCTGCTGCCTGCTTGATATCACCACCAGGACATGAGAGGCACCTCAAACTCAGCATGTCCAAAACTGAACTCATAATTTCTCCTGAAAAACTTGTCCCTCTTCTCAGCTTCTCTGTTTTTCTCAGTGGCACCATTATGCCATTCCAACTCACCTAGGGCTAATGTTAAAACAAATAAACTTTGTTCACTCAAAGTCCAAAATCTCCAAGAGTTCCCATGAAGCACATTTTAAAGGACCTGGACATTGCATACACTCTGTAAACAAGTGGGGCTGGTGACTTTGCATAGCCCTCCTTCACTTACATCCACTTCACTTGTCTGTCATGACATCACCTGCCTGATGTCATGGTCTTCTTTGAGAATGAAGGACAAATAATAACGACAACATCCAAGTGACTTCAATGTAACATATATCCCTCAAAATCAATGAAAAACCCACTCGTATACCGAATTCCTTCATACTTAAACCAAATGTATATATTAATATACACATATATGGAAAACACACAATTTAATTATTTAATGCTTACTCATTTGTATTTAAGTTCCTAACACTTATCTTTGACATCAATTCATCTTTGGATGTGTATCTGTTTTTTTTTAGGTACAGCAATATTTTAATTTCAATTATGGGGAAATGTTGATTGACAATATAGGGTTTTTACATGTTGGAAAATCCATTCTAAACAGTGATGTTGTAAAAATAAAACCAAAAAAAGTTGTTTACAACATCCCAGGAAAACCAGAAACATGTTATCCAGCAATATACTTAAATTCACTGCACTGTCCAAGTCACTTCCTAGTTTGTGCTTGTTTGGACAGGTATTTAAAAGACTTCTGTAGACTAGGCCACAAGTTTCTCATTTCTGCCTTCAGCCAATATCTTAGTGTATTTTTCAAGATCTTTAAAGTTATCATCATTTTTAATACAGGATGTCCCAAGAGTCTATAAGCTTAAAAGGCACCATGTGTAGAATTCATTATCCAGATTCAAATTTTACATAGCTCATTTATACAGCAGCATTATTGTGCATTATTTAAATTGCATGTGAAAATGAGGGTACGACAGCAATAAAAAAAGAGTCCACTAAAGTAGTGATATAAAAAGGTTTTATCTTGATTTTATGTTAATTCAATATGAACACTGCTGCAGAGAATGAGTCAGGGTTGCCAAGGGCAAAATACTTTGTAGTTGACTTATTATGACATAATATAACACTGCATCAGAAGCTGTATACATCTTTGTAACAAAGTTATTCTAGGACTATGTGACCTCTCAGTGCTGTGGCGGCGTTTCTGCAGGCCAGTATTTATGAACTAGTTATTGCTATAGCAATACATATATTTCAATTTGTGATCAGAAATTATTTGCCTAAAATTAAATTGTAGCCACTAATCTGAATAGCTAAATGAAAAGCTTCATTCATTTATTCATTCGTTCATTTGTTTAACATTTATTAAGTGCTTCACGTAGGTGCTTCGCGAGAAACATAAATAAATGACAGATTTCCTAACATCATTGAGCTTATCACACCCCAGGTAGGAATATTGCCTCCAAGCCCAAGTACTTCTCTCATATTGAGTCTTATCATAACCTTGATGAGAGGTTCACAGCTCCCTTGAGAAGACTAAGGATTCTCTGCATTTATATCCCTAGCATTTGGCATAGTACCTGGAAAATGACAGGTGCCTAATTTATGCTTTTTAGTTGACTAATTCACAAAAGCTCTGCCAGTGGAGCCATAAGCTCTGGCAGTCCTACAATGCAGTAAAAGTCTTTGAGTATGGGCCCATTGATAGACTGCGTTAGAGCAGAGCCAGCCAAGCTAAGCTTAGAGAACCTCTTCACCAGAAAACTATACACCTGTTGAGTACTTTTTTATTTTGGCCTCAACAACTCATGAAAATATCTACTAAGGCTTAAAGGGCCTTTAATTTGACTTAGTTGAGGAAAATATGTGAACCGGTGAAATCATAGATCTTTTGAGGTACAAAAGGAAATACTGGGCCAGAATGTCATCCAGGTGATGCAAGGGGAAAAAAAATTTATGAACCAATTAGGATAGCTGAAGATGAGATGGGAAGAGAAAAAGAGCCTTTGAGATGCCCAACAAAAAGACATTTAGGGGCTGAGCAAGGAATCTCACTGTAGGAATTAAAAGGAAAGGTAGTCCCAAGTGATAATTTGAAAAGTGAGGACAAATTCTCATGCAGACTTTACAAAATGCAAAATTTAGGGACCTCTCAACCTTCAGTCATCTTTGTATACTGTCTCTTTTCATGTATTCTGTCATTCTTGCCTATGCCTAGAATTTTAACACTACAAAAGAGTTTGAAGGTCATTGAATCCATTCAAACCCCTCACTTGACAGATGGACAAATGAGTCCCAGAGATGTTAAAGTTCACTATTCATGGAAACATAGCAATGTGAATAGTCATAGAGAAGCCCAGCTCTCCCATAGAAATCCCAATAAATACCTGAAAAGAATCCCAGAAAGACCAATTGTAAATCTGAAAAGACTCAAAAGTGAGCTCTTATTGCTTCATGGAATGATTTTTCATGGTTCTGATTGTTTCATTCTGTTGTTGATGGAGTCTACTACTTGAGTAAGGTGTCCATTTTCTGTTGCAAAGCTGTTTATTCAACTTCCATTTTTTTCCCTTAAGAGCTTTAGTATCATCTTTAAAACTCTCTTATTTTGTTTTTTCAGTTATTCTTGTGGTCAAACCATTTTTTTTTTCTTCTGAGGCTTTGCTTGTACTTATAACTGAGTTGGTCTTTTTTTCTGAATTTAACTCTTGGACTTCTCTTAACCTAGAGTATTTCTTCATTGTGATAGGCATTTTCTTCTGTTCATTCATACCTCCAGCCTCAGTTTCTGGATTGGGACTTTGTTCTAGGGCCAGACTCCATCCACTCTTTCCTGTACTCTTTGAAGGGGTAGGTAGGCTCTGCTTGATCTTTTCCTCTCTGTAGTATGTATGGCTCTGCTATTGAAGGCAGCAGAATAAGATAATTGCAGCAATGAAAAAACCTACAAGGGGAATGGTTTACTGAAGATGCTACAATTATAAATCTGTTTCTTTGCTCTCCTAGGTGCTCCCTTCTGGTCCCTCTCTGCTGCATTTGAGCAAGGATATATATAAACCAGTATAGCGATGGTTAACCATGATTATGATACAAAAAAAGACAAAGTAAACAGAAAGTTATGCTCTCAAGAGATAGAAATGTTTTGGGAAACAGGAACAAACCTTGTTGGGAAAGAGTGGAAAAGAAATAAGAGGGAAGAATTGGGAATCATCCATTGTGCATCTGCAGTCCATGGGGAGTATCAGGGGCACAGCATCCATCCCAATACACCTCATGCACCATTTGCTGAAGATCTAATGGTTTTTACTGCTTCCCTCTTCGGATTTGGTTCTCCCAATCTCTAACTCTGCTATGTGTTACACAGCCACCCAT